GATGTGTGCGGGGCAGGAACTCATATGCGACGGATATAATCAGTTGCCAGTCCGATGTACGCTAGGCTTAAGTCTTGAAAGATCCCATTACTGGGCCAGACGGGGCCTTTGTGTGAGCTGTTTGCATGTTCTCCCGGTGTAGGTTTTCTCCAGGTGCTCCGGTGGCTATGAATATAATGAGACTGGTGGTGGATCTGCCGTCACCGTGTGTGGAGTGAAATGAAATTCCAGTTACACCTCGTCTTCGTCCTAGACCTTAGTTTGTGAAAAGCTAAATGAATAATGATTATTATTAACTAATAATATAATAATTATTAACTATTCCTTACTCATGAATCTTCACCTGGTCATGTCAACTGCACATGTCACATACATGTCCCATACATGTCCCATACATGTCACATACATGTCCCATACATGTCCCATACATGTCCCATACATGTCACATACATGTCACATACATGTCCCATACATGTCCCATACATGTCACATACATGTCACATACATGTCCCATACATGTCACATACATGTACATACATGTCACATACATGTCACATACATGTCCCATACATATACATACATGTCCCATACATGTCCCATACATGTCACATACATGTCCCATACATGTCCCATACATGTCACATACATGTCACATACATGTCCCATACATACATGTCACATACATGTCACATACATGTCACATACATGTCCCATACATATACATACATGTCCCATACATGTACATACATGTCACATACATGTACATACATGTCACATACATGTCCCATACATATACATACATGTCCCATACATGTCACATACATGTCACACACATGTCCCATACATGTCACATACATGTCACATACATGTCCCATACATGTCACACACATGTCACATACATGTCCCATACATGTCCCATACATGTCACACACATGTCACATACATGTCACATACATGTCACACACATGTCCCATACATGTCACATACATGTCACATACATGTCCTATACATGTCCCATACATGTCACATACATGTCCCATACATGTCACACACATGTCACATACATGTCACATACATGTCACATACATGTCACATACATGTCACACACATGTCCCATACATGTCACATACATGTCCTATACATGTCCCATACATGTCACATACATGTCCCATACATATCACCCACATGTCACATACATGTCACACACATGTCCCATACATGTCACATACATGTCACATACATGTACATACATGTCACACACATGTCCCACACATGTCACATACATGTCCCATACATGTCACACACATGTCACATACATGTCACACACATGTCACATACATGTCACACACATGTCCCATACATGTCACAAACATGTCACATACATGTCACATACATGTCCCATACATGTCACATACATGTCCCATACATGTCACAAACATGTCACATACATGTCACATACATGTCCCATACATGTCCCATACATGTCCCATACATGTCACATACATGTCCCATACATGTCCCATACATGTCACATACATGTCCCATACATGTCACATACATGTCCCATACATGTCCCATTCATGTCCCATACATGTCACACACATGTCACACACATGTCACATACATGTACATACACACGCAGCTGTATGTGCAATAGCTTGATGGAAACGCCTCTGGTGTGTAATGTGTGCAAAGCCTTTCCCTGGAAGTGTCTTGCTCAACACTGGAATGATTCAGGTACGAAGCCGTAAACAGGATTTAGATAAAGTCAAGGTACGTGATTTAGTTCAAACCACACACACACATAAATACATATACAAGCGTGCACACACAGGCCTAAACACTCTCTGACCCAACACCTCACTTTTTACACAGATTTTACATTAATTTAAACATGTTTTTATGTCATCGGCCTAAAATGATCAGTCGCAAACTCATGCAATGTTAAAAGAAGTCATTTCAAAAACAGATTTGGGAAATACCGCTCTGTGTGTGATGTCATAGTGCTACAATGACATCACACTAATACAGGACTGTGATTGGAGCTTTGAGACAGAATGGGGCGGAGCTACATGTGCCAGACGTGACTCATATAAACGTGGCTGGATCTAAAAACAGTCAAGTCTGTTTTTGAGGAAGCTCCAAAAGTACATTTAAATGATCCCGACTGTTTCCTCCATGCACTGGACACACATGGATTTATCTAAAAGTTAATCTGAAATCAGGAAAAGTAGCTTTGAGTTTAATAAATGTGTAATAAATGTGTAATAAATGTGTGCATATATATATTGGAAGGCAGGGAGCAGTTTTAAAGTTATATTAATCTAATTTTAGATATTGTCACAGAAAGTCCAAATATCTGATTATTGACTGTTTTCTTTCTGCTGCTTCATGGTTCGGTCTGGGTTAAGTCTCGGTGTAGACTCAGTCCGTTCTGTCTCGCTCCAGTCCAAGCTCCAGGACTGGTTTGAGTCCTTTTCAGATGTTGCCAGTTGTTTGATGTATGACAAGATCAATGTGAAAAGCTCAGTTTTCTGTTGGACCAAACCCTGGACCCATTCTGAATCATTAAATTACTTTGTTTTAGGAAAATACTAGAGTTTATTAAGAGTAATGGCAGTGGTTTTAGTTCAGCCACAGATGGAAAAGGAGACAACAGCAATAAAACTGAGTATTTTTAGAGCCGCTAATGACTCCGAGGAAAACTCATTTTCATAAGGACCGGCTCTGACTCTGCTCCTGAACCACCGCTGATTCTTTTTAGAACTCGACAGTCACACAAACTTGAAGAAACAGATTTGAACTTAATTAACTAATGACTTACTTACAGATCCATAAAACATCAGTATCCTCCTCATATTTACTGCTGCTATACGTTTTTTCAATGATATTTTTTAATAAAATACTGAAACTAGAGATATTTCTTTTCCAAAACACGTGCTATGACATCACATTATCCTGATCTTTGCAAAGTATTGTTAAAAGAGTAAAAAACCTGATCTAAAAGTCCATTCTTACCTTTCATCGCCCGAGTGCCTCTATAATAACTGGAGAAATGAATGAACAATGTAAAGTTGGTGATCCGTGGGCGGAGCCGGCGCCGCCCAAAAGACAAACAAACAAGTCTGAGCTGAGGATGAGAATGATCAAGATTTTACCTTTTGCTCAGAAACGTGGATGAGACGGTTCCTCTTTCTCTGCAGCGTCAGGTCTGGAAGCAGCGGCTCTCAATGGTCCAGTCCCAGAGGAAAGAATGGGGAGGGAGGAGGGAGAGAGGGGGGAGGGAGGGGAGGGACAGGGGGAGGAGGGAGAGAGGGACAGGGGGAGGGGGGGGACAGAGGGGGGAGGGAGGGAGAAGCCTCGGCCCCTCTGCTCTGGTCCTTTTCCCGTCAGTCTGTGGCAAAGAAGAATGAGTCAAAGGTTTATTACTTTTTTACATTTTTCTTGAGAATCACCGACTTTGACCCGTCCTGAGGTAAACCTGCTCTAAACCACTTAGAGCCAGACACAGAAAAAATGAAATAAACTTTTTAATCTAAAAGTCCAGAGATGGTTTAGGTCGACCAAACTTTGAACCACAGAAAATGTGACATTAAATAAAACTGTAAATGTAAAACTAGTCCTTCATAGTTTTCTCCTGCACCAGTTTTTAAGCCTCTCACATTTTCAGGTCAGATTATTCAGACAGAAAAGTGTAGAAGTACCAGCAGGAGTACCAGCAGGAGTACCAGCAGAAGTACCAGCAGAAGTACCAGCAGGAGTACCAGCAGGAGTACCAGCAGGAGTACCAGCAGGAGTACCAGCAGAAGTATCAGCAGAGGGACCAGCAGAAGTACCAGCAGGAGTACCAGTAGAAGTACCAACAGAAGCACCAGCAGAAGTACCTGCAGAAGTACCAGCAGGAGTACCAGTAGAAGAACCAGTAGAAGAACCTGAGCTCTGACTCATGGTCCACTGGAGAAACCATAGTGTCACTGCCAAAGGATAAATGTAACTCTCGCTCGTTCACTTTACTTCTGAATGTTCTGAAAACGACTCGAGTCCTGAGTGTTCATGGTTTTACACTGGTCCAGACCAGAGCAGAGAGGATTCATGGTTTTACACTGGTCCAGACCAGAGCAGAGAGGATTCATGGTTTTACACTGGTCCAGACCAGAGCAGAGAGGATTCATGGTTTTACACTGGTCCAGACCAGAGCAGAGGATTCATGGTTTGACACTGGTCCAGACCAGAGCAGAGAGGATTCATGGTTTTACACTGGTCCAGACCAGAGCAGAGAGGATTCATGGTTTTACACTGGTCCAGACCAGAGCAGAGAGGATTCATGGTTTTAGACTGGTCCAGACCAGAGCAGAGAGGATTCATGGTTTCACACTGGTCCAGACCAGAGCAGAGAGGATTCATGGTTTTACACTGGTCCAGACCAGAGCAGAGAGGATTCATGGTTTTACACTGGTCCAGACCAGAGCAGAGAGGATTCATGGTTTTACACTGGTCCAGACCAGAGCAGAGAGGATTCATGGTTTTACACTGGTCCAGACCAGAGCAGAGAGGACCATCAGAGCTGAAGGACCATATGTCTAATCACATTTTATTCAAACCAGATCAACTCATGATGAAAAGTACGATGAGTTTCTGAATTAGAACTATTCACATAAACTTCCTCAACCATGTGATGTCTCCCGTTCACAGATATAAGAATAATGTTTGAAGGAGTTTGGATGAAATGTCATGAGTTTATTTATTGAATCAGGGACAAAAGAGATAAAAAGTCCATATTTCTGTAGAAAAACAGGTTTGTGTCATGATATTACTGTAGAAGTGACACAGGCAGAGGTTCAAAGCTTTGTGCTCCTTTAAGATGAGGATACACACACAGTGGGAAATGTCAGTGTTGCATCACCAGGTACAGAACAGTGAGAGTGAGCACAAGATACATGAACTAAACTTTATACTTGCCTTGTAGTAACCGTTGCCATAGCAACACACTAAAGATTACATACAGTAGGATGTATTAAGTTGCTAAACCTCCTAAATCTATATTGTTTTATAAAATCCATGAGTTAAATGTAGGAAAACGTATATTTGTCTCTTCTGTGTTAGTGTGTGCATTTTGGTCATAGCAACCGTTGCTAAGGAGCTTTTGCTGGCTCATGGTTTCTAAATGAGTCCTTTTCATAGAACATACTGGAAAGATAAAGACTTCCTGATAAGCACTGAGTGTGTTTTGACCGTGGCACAAACTCACATATATACATGTTAATTACATGTTAATTACATGTTAATTACATGTTCATTACACAGACAGTAAATGTTACAACACGCCTCAGCCGTGTTAAACCGTGTTAGACCGTGTTAGACTGTGTTAAACCGTGTTAGACCGTGTTAGACCATGTTAGACCGTGTTAGACCGTGTTAGACCGTGTTAGACTGTGTTAGACCGTGTTAGACCGTGTTAGACCGTGTTAGACCGTGTTAGACCGTGTTAGACTGTGTTAGACCGTGTTAGACTGTGTTAGACCGTGTTAGACCGTGTTAGACCGTGTTAGACCGTGTTAGACCGTGTTAGACCGTGTTAGACTGTGTTAGACCGTGTTAGACCGTGTTAGACCGTGTTAGACCGTGTTAGACCGTGTTAGACCGTGTTAGACTGTGTTAGACCGTGTTAGACTGTGTTAGACCGTGTTAGACCGTGTTAGACCGTGTTAAACTGTGTCAGACTCGGGCAGAGTTTGAATTCCATCACTTCCTGTTTATAAACAGAAATAACAATGAGTGGACGACATGAACATCACTTTTACGATCTGACTTTTCAGGAAATCGTTTATGTCCAAATATTACGACAATTTTCTAAAAGAACAGTAGCAACAAAATGAGAGTATTTCTATTTTATGACATGAGCAGCTTTAGAAGAATCTAGTTTGAGTTTGAAAAGATTCTTACCAAAGTACATCTGTGACATATGAACCAACTGGGACTCTGGGGAGCACAGGGACTGGACTCCTGCTGGGACTCTGAGGAGCACAGGGACTGGCCTCCTGCTGGGACTCTGAGGAGCAGAGGGACTGGACTCCTGCTGGGACTCTGAGGAGCACAGGGACTGGCCTCCTGCTGGGACTCTGAGGAGCAGAGGGACTCTGAGGAGCACAGGGACTGGCCTCCTGCTGGTCCCAGAGTCAGGACTAAACATGAAGAGGCAGTGTTTCAGATTTATGCTAATATCTGGAACAGTCTTCCTGAACATGTGAGACAGGTCTCTGCTTTGACCATGTTCAAAACCAGGTGTTTTAGCTGCAAACAACTGACTCTATTTTGAATTCTATTCATTTCTAACATATTTATATATAATAGTTTTAAGTCGAACACATTGTTGAATCTGTATTGTCTTTTTTATTGGTTTTTAATGCATTGATCTGTGCGGAGCATAAGAAGGTTTAGAAGAACCTTGTGCATGAAGTGTGCTATACAAATAAATGTTGATTTTTAGACAAAGCCCTGTTATTTTTCTGTAACCTTGGAAACCTGAAAAAGAAGGCATTGGAGAGAGAAGCGACACGATTATAAACAGTAGAATGTCTGCTGCACTGAGACACACTGGCCCCACGTGACGTCAGCGGGATCAGATCTAAGTCTTTTCATTGTTGAACTGAGTCTGCAGCGCAATATTTACAGTTGTTCAATGTCTCTTTGATCCAGCTTTACTCAAACATCTTCCTTTTGTGGCGATGGAGACATGTGCTCTGACTTGTGCTGTGTATTCAGAAAAAAACCAAAAGAATTCAGGCTACTGTCCACATAAGTGATTCATGAGTGACGTTCTGCCTGTGGCCACTAGAGGGCGCCAACAGCTGCTGAGGGAAACTGAATGAGGCTGGTTTATTGGATAGTGGTAAAACATAATTTAATTTGGATATTCTCATGATTGAATAAAGCCATGTAATTATAATTATCTGTTTTGTTGTCTGTTCCTGTCCTTTATCTTTTATTTGAATGTGTTTTAAAGTCTATGGACCATTTGTGTTGGAGATAAAGCACAATAATCATAGTAAAAAACAATAATGGTGCGTGAAGGTATGTGGCCTTAAACAGGAAAGAAAAATACAAGAAGCTACTTCATTTAAATTGGTTTCTTTTACTGATCTCACTCAATGTTCGGAGGAAAAAACATTTGGACCAAGTTGTTAAAGATGGGGTACCTAATGTTTTGTATCATACACATTTATTTATTTATTTATTTGATTGGGACAACACACATTAATGAACAATCATATACAAGTTGTACACAAATTGTAAATGTGTCAGATTGTAGCAAAACTGATTTACATCCGTAGTCCAGAGGCAGGTCACACAATAATAATAATTATACAAAAGGACAATATACAATTATACAAGTTACAGTTAGTTAAAATGAGTGATTTACTTTAAAATGGTGTTTTAGTTGTTTTTTAAAAGAACTATATGTTCATGTTCTCTTACAGTGTACTTTAGTACTCATAGTGACCAGCAGCAGAGACCATCAAACCTACAGTATGTCTGTAGGAAAGTTGTTCCAACACTGACCTCCTCTGACTGACAGCAGTTTGTCCAAATGTAGTTTCTCTGTGTGGGATCTCCACATCTCCTCTAGAGGGCGCTCTGGTGCAGATCTCCACATCTCCTCTAGAGGGCGCTCTGGTGCAGATCTCCACATCTCCTCTAGAGGGCGCTCTGGTGCGGAGACCTGTTACTGCTTTAATGTAGTTTGAGAGTGGGGGCGGGACAAGAGCATGAAGTGCTTTGTAACCAAGGCAACAGTTTTGAAAATTGAGCATTTTGTGTTTCTCCAGGATATTGCAGTGATATGACCAAGGCTTTTGATCCAGAATTTGGACTGCCACAAACAGACAAAACATGTGAGGCTTTTGAAAACACCTGTTATTGAAAAAATAATTATCTCAGAACACTTTTCTGTCTAAAAAAGCCGAAGTACCTCTAGATTTATTTAATCACAAATAACACGTTGTATTTGTATCAACGGGAGCTTTGTCAAAGTTTAAACTAATCAGAGCCTGACGTTCTTCCTTTTAGAAAACATGTTATTGTCTGTAAGAAAGAGCTGAGTCATGTTTGATGCTTTGGGCTGAGAGCTGATTGGCCGAGAGGGAGTGGTCCTTTCATTTTCATTTTTCTGTCTAAAAAAACTGATCTAAAAATTTGTGACGGAGGCAGAATATATTTTGGATAGATTTAATTACATAGTTGCAGAGAGCGAACCAACTGGGACTCTGAGGAGCACAGGGACTGGACTCCTGCTGGGACTCTGAGGAGCACAGGGACTGGACTCCTGCTGGGACTCTGAGGAGCACAGGGACTGGACTCCTGCTGGGACTCTGAGGAGCACAGGGACTGGCCTCCTGCTGGGACTCTGAGGAGCACAGGGACTGGACTCCTGCTGGGACTCTGAGGAGCACAGGGACCGGCCTCCTGCTGGGACTCTGAGGAGCACAGGGACTGGCCTCCTGCTGGGACTCTGAGGAGCACAGGGACCGGCCTCCTGCTCTGAGTGATTGTACCTTCACTCTTGTTAATGTACTGATTATTTATGATTTTAATGTGTCGTCTTGTTTTCATAAGCATTTTCAAATTACCTAATGTAATTATTGTGATATACAAATAAATTTGCCTTGTCTTGGTTTTTAAAGTTAGCTTTAATTAAGTATGGAAAAATAGGTAAAGAAATACCACATGAGGCAGACTATTCTAAGAACTCACTTTAACCCTTGCGCTGTCCTCGGGTCAAGATTACCCACCAGTGATTCAAAAATACTCTGAATAAGACATTTGTTATTTATACCCGTGAAGACCCGATATTGTTGGTATTATTTTTCCACTTTAAATCATCTGGTGGTTCATTTTGACCCGAGAGTAGCACAAGTGTTAAAAGGTTTGAAAAGCAGGTACCCCAGCTTTAAAAAGATGGAACAACAGACATAAACAGACTATATTGAGCGTAATAATAAGATCTTGGGATTTCCACACGTGGCATCTGTGGATTCTCTCACTGCTTTTGTTCCCACGGACACATGGGCCTGGCACAGATGGCAGAGTATTCCCCTAAGACAATCCCACCCCAGACGGAGCAGAAGTCCCTACAAACCAGGCCTGGGGATGGGGTTTCCTCGGGGTAAATGGTGTAGCAAAGACTCGGTGTCAAACGCGCAGTAAAACCGTGAATTATGGCCCGTTCTCGCGGCTGCAGCCTTCTCCTCGGCGCGGACATGTTCCTTGTCATGTGGCTTGAGGGAAAACCCGTATTGGATCTCCCCGGTCACCTGGCCACATCAGGAGGACAAAAAGCAAAATTGAGAACTGCCTGTCAAACCGAGTCATGCACAGTCACACCAGAACATAGTCCACAGTCACAATACTACTACACGACAATAAACATCCCTGTTGGCTCATTACACGTAACTAACAAGACTCTGACGTCGCTTTTTATCACCAAATAAGTGCGTAATTGCCATAAACTCATAGTCAGAGCCCGTATTACACAAACGCGAAGCTAGCTCGCAGTGAAGTACATGTAAATCCTACATAAAACAGCTCAAAAACCGCTGTTTAAGCTGGCTTTATCAGAGTCCACTCCGTGTCTTGTGGGCGCATGTGTGGAGCGAGATGAAAACCAGCGCCCGAGAAGCGCACTTAGCACCGGGGATAAGGAAACCAAGGGCGAGCCGACCTCCGAGCGACGCAACAGCAGCATCAACACACGATATTCCCCCAACACGACACCACAGAACGACTTGGAAACTACAATATTGGTCTTTACACGCGCCCGGGTGTGCGTAAAACCGTGCGTAAAGTCGTGCGTAAAGGAAAGCTAGCAGCTAGGTCTCTGCACGCGCTGCTGCTGCTGCTGCTTCGGCCTCCATTTTCCTGTCAGTCCGCTCGTCGCCTCACGTGTCCCGGGCTGTCTTCTCTCACATGACCCGTGTGTTTGTCCCCGTGACCACCAGCGCTTCCATCTCTGTAAATCAGTGTTGTTGAATATATCAGCATTTTTTACGCACGCATCACTCCAAAGGCTTCACATGGATATGCTGGAGCAGAGCCTGGACAATACGGCGAGGTAAGCCCCAGTTCCTGCGCGGCTAGTCGGCTACTGCTGCTAGCTCTCTCCGCTCATACATTCGGGGATAGTTTATCACTAATCCTCGGCTGGTTTTGGTGTGTTTTGGGTTGGTTTGTGACCGTGCGTCCTGGGGTCTCGGGGTGAGGGGGTTTGGCTGCTTATTTACGCGTGACCTTGCTCGTGTTTGCAGACGGGCTAAAGTGACATAAAAGCACGCATTTAGTTTAGTTTAGAAGTTTCTGCAGCGCGGGGCGAGCGTTTCAAACAACTTTATTCCAAAGAATCCGTGTGTGTGTTTGTGCAGAGAGAGTATGCGCGGTGTTTGTGGAGGGTTTTAGTTCACATTTGGGCTGTTTTGATCCAATTTCAGCTTTAATTCCCACTTGTCCTCTATTGTTGTGGTTCGCTAGAGGGCGCTCGAGAGCTCTGTCAGTTCTAGGACATGTGGAAATCCATCATGTATTCTGTCAAAGTTTGTTTTGTGGTCAGAAAGGTGATAATTGTATCTTTCTGTTTTTGCAGTCACGACAAACAAGACGCAGAGGACGGAGTCTCGCTACAAGAAGGTTTTTGTGATTTATTTTGACCAGATGTTTCCATTTTTCAGCTTTGTGCTAAAGTTAATTAATTAATATAAACTAATGGACATCTGTCAATCACTAATTTAGTAAAGGAGTCATTTTTATCTGTGTTATTCTTAAAAGTGGGGTGTATATTTGTATATTTGTATATTTGAGTGCGGCTTCAGCACAACACTAGAAACGTACATTAAAGTTCGGGTACCTGAATTTCAAACCTTCATCTAATAGTTCCATAGTTCTAGCTCTAGTTTTCACGGCTTTAGCTTTTTCAAACAGCCAATCAGATCTCAGGGTTTCTCTTTTTATTCAAGATTAGACAAACTTTATTGATCTCACAATGAACATAGTTTACATAAATAAACAAAACAAATATGCAAATGAGGAAACAGGTTCTGACCTCAGGAAAAGGAAACAGATCATTGTGTTTTCATCTTTTTTCTTCCACTTTATCCGTTGTGGGAGCAGCAGTCTAAGCACACACCCAGACTTCCCCCTCCCCAGACACCTCCCCCAGTTCCTGCAGGAGAATGGCTCCCAGGGACACAGCTCTGACTGCAGACGCTGCTCCCTCTTCACCACAAAAGTCTGATACAGCTCTGACTACAGATGCTGCTCCCTCTGATACAGCTCTGAATGCAGACGCTGCTCCCTCTGATAGAGCTCTGACTGCAGACGCTGCTCCCTCTGAAAGAGCTCTGACTGCAGACGCTGCTCCCTCTGATACAGCTCTGACTGCAGACGTTGCTCCCTCTGATACAGCTCTGACTGCAGACGCTGCTCCCTCTTCACCACAACAGTCTGATGCAGCTCTGACTGCAGACGCTGCTCCCTCTGTACGTAAATGTTATAAATGGTTTCCCAGCTTTGCTCTACTTTGCAGTTTGTTTACCAGGAGGGACCTGTCACATGGTCTTGGACAGAGAAGTGTGATTAAAACCATGTGACTGTTTTGCAGGAGACGCCGTGGGGGAGGAGCAGACGGCCGTCATCACCGGCGTCCCGCAAGCGGCTTTCACCGACCACAATGTTCAGTACCAGTTCCGCACAGAGAACAACGGAAGCCAGGTAATATGGCCTATACACATGGTCTTTACACATGGTTTATACACATGGTCTATTCACATGGTCTATAAACATGGTCCATACACATGGTCTTTATACATGGTCCAAGTGGCTGAACTCTTTATGAAGCTGAGGCCCTGTAGTTTTGGCCTCTGATGACTCACATACTGTAATTATAAGTGGAAACATACTCTGAGTTCTATCAGATTCTAAATAAATATTGAGATAAGTTTCTGCTGCTTTGAACCATGACACCATAAATGATGTCACACTTATCCCTTCATCAGCAGACCATAAATACCATAAAGACGGCTGTATACTCTCACAGCCGAGACATTCAAATAAAACTAGTATCAATGTCAACACATGGTTTTCTTAGTTGAAAAGTGTTAAAAACTTGTTTTTCTGAACTAACTTTTCCTGGTCCCGAGCACAAACAGCACTCCTCTGGTCCATAGGGAGAGACCACATGGTATTGGACCATAGGGAGAGACCACATGGTATTGGACCATAGGGAGAGACCACATGGTATTGATCCATAGGGAGAGACCACATGGTATCGGACCATAGGGAGAGACCACATGGTATTGGACTATAGGGAGAGACCACGTGGTATTGGACCATAGGGAGAGACCACATGGTATTGGTCCATAGGGAGAGACCACATGGTATTGGTCCATAGGGAGAGACCACATGGTATTGGACCATAGGGAGAGGCCACATGATATTGGACCATAGGGAGAGACCACATGGTATTGGACCATAGGGAGAGACCACATGGTATTGGACCATAGGGAGAGACCACATGGTATTGGACCATAGGGAGAGACCACATGGTATTGGTCCATAGGGAGAGACCACATGGTATTGGTCCATAGGGAGAGACCACATGGTATTGGACCATAGGGAGAGAGCACATTGTATTGGACCATAGGGAGAGACCACATGGTATTGGACCATAGGGAGAGACCACATGGTATTGGACCATAGGGAGAGACCACATGGTATTGGACCATAGGGAGAGACCACATGGTATTGGACCATAGGGAGAGACCACATGGTATTGGACCATAGGGAGAGACTGGGAATGTTGATAAATGCTGTAGAATGTTGATATTATTATTATTATGATATTTAATTGTGTGTGTGTGTGTGTGTGTGTGTGTGTGTGTGTCTGTCTGTGTGTGTGTGTCAGCAGGTGACGTACCGTGTGGTGCAGGTCACAGACGATCACCTGGAGACCACAGACGCCTCGGGGGCCGTGAGCGTCGTCTCTGCTGCTGCCTTCACTGGAGCTCCTCAGGCTGTGGCTCAGGTGAGGAAGGGGGGAGGAGTCTAAACTAGACTTTCTGATTGGTGGAACGGTGGAGGGCGGGACATCGACTTTAAATCAAAAACAAGATTTAGAGGCTGGAAAAGTAATTTAGAAATTCAAATATCTCTGAACTACAGTTATCAGTTAAAGAAGTATTGGAAAAGAACAGTTTATTATTATGACAGATTAGGGCCCTTTAATGATGACAGATTAGGGCCCTTTAATGATGACTGGACATGAGGATCTTACATACTGCTGCTTTAAAGTGGATGTTTGTGGTTCCAGGCTGTGATCCAGAACCCCTTCAGTAATGGGGGCAGTCCTGGGGTGGAGTCGGTCGGGGCAGAGACGCGTTTTGCTTATTTTCCGGCGGCGACGGTGAGCGACGGCACCGCGGTGTCGGTGCAGGCGGCGGCCGACCCCACCATCACACAGGCCGGAGGTAACCGTTAAAACAGCGGCTTGTGTCTGTAATGTGCGTCCATGACACACACCGAGCAGCAGCTGAGTCTGTGCTGCGGGACTCGAACCAAGAGTGTGTTTTATAATCTGTGGTTTAGAGCTGGCCCCTCCTGCTCCGCTCTGACACCACCTACACTTTTCTTAAAAATCATTTTCATTCCATTTGTTTTCGAGGACGTCTCTCGTCGTCCTCATTTCTATTTATTTTATTTTGAAATGTTTTGTTTACAAAAATCTATTTTTAACTGTGTTTAGTGAAAGGTCTCGTCTGTTTAGACGCTTTAAAGTGATTGTCTGGAGTTTGTCAGAAAGAGAGAGAGGTGCTTGATTTGAAAAAAACGACGCAAGCTCCTCCCCCTTCTTTTCTGATTGGTCTACACCTACGTTTCCGTAACACTTTGAAATGTTAATCAGAGAACACATTATACATATACATTATTAATACACATGCACGGAGGTTTTCAGAATTATTTGTGAACGTTTTAATGAAAAAAAATGTTTTTATGCACAAAAAAGTGATCGCGGCAAACCAGGAAGTGCTATTATCATGAATTGCACATTATAGGACACATCTGCAGAGGATCTGATTATGGATATAGGTTCAGAATATACATAAGTACCTCAGCGCGGATGTTCAGAATTCTTTGTTCAGTTTTCATGTAGTTCCAGAGCCTAATAGAGGCTCCTGAGCATGAGCAGCTGCGAGCATCAGCGCCGATGATTGACAGCCCTTGGCATGACTCGATTGGTTAACCTCGACGGCACCGTGGATTCTGAACCAGGGGTGTCATTCATACGGCCCTCGGGCCGGAACCGGCCCGCCAAGAGATTTGACACGGCCCGCGGCTCATTTATGTAAAAATATAATAATAATACATTTTAAAAAGCCGCAAGGCTCCGCGACGCGACGCCGCAGCGCCGCGCTCAGGGGTGAGTCCAGTGCGTCTGTAGTGGCTCCACCAGAGCGGTGCTGGAGGAATAACATCTTAAACTACAAGACTCGGCGAAAAATACGGCACTTTGAGCGGAGAATTGAGAAAACAGAAGATAAACATGTCTGGCCCTGAAGACACAGCAGTCTGTTTGTGCCCAGAGCGAGAGGTTAGTTCTGCTGCTGTGAAGGGAAGCTACCTGTGCTAACAACATTAGCATCGCAGCCGCACAGTGAGAGAGAGTTTGTTAAAACTCTCACAGGCTGCAGACATGGTCTGAGAAACCACTCGCTTTTACCAACATGTTGCCATTGATAAGAGACTGATGTTACTGATGTCACATATTCATTTGTGGTGTTACTGAAACTATCAGAGGAGTTTTGAGCGCTGCAGCTGGTACTGCTGCTGGTTCTGCTGTTGTTGCTGGTGTGTTGGACAGTGTGGACGGGTACCGATGGTAAAAACAGGTGTAGTGACAAAGCTGCAAATGGAGGTGATGATTTTTGGACATTTGACTGTATTTTACACAGAGACACTGCTGCAGTCGTTAAGAATGAATCACGTTATGGAAGTTGTTTTATTCATTTCAACTGAATCATGGTCAGTTTGATGCTTTCTCTGTGATAATAACATAACCATGGACCTTACCACACTGAAGATGGTTAATGTGATAATAACATAACCATGGACCGTACCACACTGAAGATGGTTAATGTGATAATAACATAACCATGGACCTACCACACTGAAGATGGTTAATGTGATAATAACATAACCATGGACCGTACCACACTGAAGATGGTTAATGTGATAATAACATAACCATGGACCTTACCACACTGAAGATGGTTAATGTGATAATAACATAACCATGGACCTTACCACACTGAAGATGGTTAATGTGATAATAACATAACCATGGACCTTACACACTGAAGATGGTTAATGTGATAATAACATAACCATGGACCTTACCACACTGAAGATGGTTAATGTGATAATAACATAACCATGGACCTGACCACACTGAAGATGGTTAATGTGATAATAACATAACCATGGACCTTACCACACTGAAGATGGTTAATGTGATAATAACATAACCATGGACCTGACCACACACTGAAGATGGTTAATGTGATAATAACATAACCATGGACCTGACCACACTGAAGATGGTTAATGTGATAATAACTAACCATGGACCTTACCACAATGAAGATGGTTAATGTGATAATAACATAACCATGGACCTGACCACACTGAAGATGGTTAATGTGATAATAACATAACCATGGACCTTACACACTGAAGATGGTTAATGTGATAATAACATAACCATGGACCTTACCACAATGAAGATGGTTAAGCTGAGGTGCTGTGTTAAAGTGTTTTTTTCTATCTACCTACTTTACCTTTGTGAGCAGGTTTTCTCTGTAATGAGCCTTAAAACAAAGCTAACACACAAATATTAATATACATATTGTGAAATACCATTTTCAATGTAATATTGTAAATACATTACATTATTTGCACTATGAAAAACTCACTGTTACATTTAAGTTTGTAACAGAAAACTGAGTATTAAAGGATAGTGTTTTAAAGGAAGTTTTAAATACATGTGTTTATGTGCACAAAAAGTTGGACTTTGTACCGTTTTTGGATATTTTTGTAGAGCATCTCCTGGTCCGGCCCACTTGAGATCAGATTAGGTTGTATGTGGCCCCCGGACCAAAATGAGTTTGACACCCCTGTTCTGAACTATAGCTAAGAGCAGGGAAGGCGGGACTTGCCCGTAATATTAGAATTAATAAAATTACTTATTTTATATCAACATTTAAGGCCAGGAGGTCAATTTAGCACATTTCCTAAAATTTGTAATTCATTAGAGTTACAGACTATCACTTTAAAGACGTAAACATAGTTTGTGTGTGCGTAGGGAGCTCCATCTCTGACCATGTTGTGTGTGTGTGTTTCTCTGTCTGTGTGTGTTGTGTATCTCTGTGCGATGTGTCTCCCTGTGTTATGTCTGTGTTGTGTGTGCCTGTGCATGTGTGTGTGTTGCGTACAGGTCAGTTCTACGTGATGATGAGTCCCCCTGAGGTCCTGCAGACCGCGGCCCAGCGCTCCATCGCCCCCCGCTCTCACGCCTACTCCACGTAAGCAGCCTCTTCATCTGTGCCAAAATGCCCTCTCCTTCATCCCTTCAGTGTCTCTGCCTCTCGCCCACACACCGCACATTTCACCTCTGTGTCCAACATGTTGTGTGTCAATGAATCAAGTCCAAAGCGTCTGAACACACACTTACTGCCGTTCTCAGAGATCTCAGTGACGGAGACTTGTTGCAGACGGGAAGTTCCAACTGGTGAGAACAACTTTTGCATTCGCCGCCCTGACCCTGTGTTGTGTGTTTTTAGCATTCTGTGGTTCATTATTTCATGCCAGTCTCTTCAGACCAACTCTTAAACTGGAAATCTGTGTTCCGTGGTTTTATCGGCGAGACTTATGTATTTCCTCTGAGTCGGAGCCACAGTTTTAGATTCAAATGTCTCTGTCTCTTGTAGGAAAGTCGACGGTCCTCGAGCTCCGAGAGACGAGAGGAGGAGAGCACAACACAACGAGGGTGAGAGTCCAGACGGGTTAGACCAGGGGTGTCCAAACTTACGAGTACGAGGGCCACTTTCAATCACCAGACTTGTCCAGGGGCCGACAACCCGGATTGTAAAACTGTTTTGCGTGGGTTCGGTGCTGTTTGGCTGCTTTATAACGGGCTGTGATGGAGCTGAAGTTGGCTGAATGATGAAAGACCATCTCATCAGCGACATTAGTAACACAAACAGAATTTAGTAACAGTACGTACACATACTTGGGATTCCTGAGGCTCTGAGAATTACCATGCTTGTATTGATTGAGCTTAAGTTGGCTGGATGACACTGTGTTAATGACCTTCTTTGTGTTGGCGGCAGACGGCCAAATAAAACCACACAAAGGGCCGCTTTTGGCCCGCGGGCCTGAGTTTGGACATGGCTGGTTTAAGCACAAAAGAATATCCATCACAGTGACTCCGGGTGGAAGCTTCTCTTTGGGCGGCGCGGTGGCTGAGTGGTTAGCCCTCTCGCCTCTCAGCACGAAGGTCCTGGGTTCGAATTCCGGTCGGAACAGGGTCTTTCTGAGTGGAGTTTGCATGTTCTCCCGGTGTCTGCGTAGGTTTCCTCCGGGTGCTCCGGAGGAAACCTCCGGTCCCTACCACTAAAAACATGTAGAATAGATCTGCATGTAATGAGTGAATGGAGGCTGTTTGGTCGGAGGCTTTGATGGACCAGTGTGTGTGGAGAGGATGGAGCCATATCTGGTTTCTGAACTTTGTAAAGCGCTTTGTGTGACCTTGGTCTGTAAAATGCGCTATATAAATAAACATTACTACTACTTATGTCACATTTAATCTCAGGTTTTTATTTAGAATTGATTTGGCTGAAAACATGCTCCTGAACTGACTGTAAAATACTTCACATTTCTGAAAAAATCACTAAAAAAACAAAAAATAACAGGGTAAGCCATATTTATTTATATAGCACCTTTCACAGTCAGCTACAGTGGTCCAGGCTCCAGATGAGTGTGTTTCAGGCTGTGTCCACTAGATGGCGCCAGTGGTTATAAAGACAGGATACAGGCCCTGTCCACACGAAGTCAAGCTCAGGCTTAAACGCAAAAATACTTTATCAATCCAGTGTATCGTCCATACGAGGCCGGCGTTTTGGGGGGGTGTAAACGAACATTTTTGAAACTAGGTCCCAGAGTGGAAAGATTTCAAAACTCCGTATATGCCGCTCCGTGGTTACTGCCTCTCCGCAATGTATCTGAGACGCTTGCGTCATCGCCCCGCCTCTTGTTAAAGCAGCATGCGCCGCACTCAGAAAATAATGACAACAACAATGTAGCTTGTTGGTTTTGTAATCCAGTGTGACCCGAAGCAACAGTTCAACCTCATTGTCCGTCCATACTAATGTAGTACCAGCTCGCCCACTCGCCATGTTGTCTGTTTACAAAATTCCGCGCATGCCCACGGAAGTTTGGGCTTGATCCCGTCATTGCGTCACAGCGCCACCAACAGGTCTGGCATAGTTTCACAGCGTTTTCAGGCGTATTGACTACATTCATATGGACGCACACATTTACTGAGCTAACTCCGTGTTTACAGAAAAAGTTTCTGAAATTATAAGCGTTTTGTCTTCGTGTGGATATAGCCACAGTGTGGTCTCAGTAGTTTTCAATTCAAACTTTATTGATCCCCAAAGACAAAGCCATTGAAGTGTATGTCGGCTGTAACACAGAAGGGTAAAGACTGGCACTGGGGCGGCGTTTAAGGCAAGTTTATCTGTATCGCACAATTCATACACAGGCATCTCAAAAGTGCTGAGTATTTTATTATATTATTATTATTCTCTTTATTTTGGTATTGATTGACTTTGAGTTACCAGTATTAATATTTACACAGACTTCCAGGTTTATAGGAGGATGTTCTACTCCTGGGAGGATCATCAAGACTATTGGTCCTCCCAACTGTCAATCATTCTGCTGATACGTGCTCGTCCAATCAGCAGAGAGTTTTAAGTAGAGAGGGCGGTTCTTTCCTAAAATGTGTGAAGATCTTCCTGTAAACCTTAGATAAGTCTTTTCTGTTGAATCGAAACATGTTTGAATTATATTTTTGTGTCTGGTTTTTCCAGTGGAAAGAAGAAGAAGAGATAAAATAAATAACTGGATCGTAACTCTGTCTAAAATAATTCCTGACTGCAGCGTGGACAGCAGAACCGGAGCGGTGAGTCCAGGACCATCGGAACCCTCTTCAGAACCACCCCCACTCCTTCTGTTCAAATGATCTGTTTTCAAACTCAGGACATAAACTCATGGAGCAGCGTTATGTTTCCAAATATGTTTGTGGATTTTAGTTTTATCATTTTACACTTGATGCTGGTGTCTGATTTATACATGCTATAATGTATATTTACTATAGTGTGTATATATATATATATATATATATATATATATATATATAATATATGGTTATATATAAGGGTTGTCAGGGTTGTTTTTTAGTTGATTAATCGCATAGAAATGATGAGTTAACTCACGATTAATCACATTTTTAACATTCTATTTCAAATCCACTCCAATTGAAGTTAAATGAGATTATCAAATGTAATGACACATTGTCATTCAGTCCAAATGTACTTAAATCTGTTACATTTGCTCACAACCCTTTGCTTTTGGGCACAACCAAAATGAGCTGTTAATGAAAGGGGGAAATTTACATACCCCAGCTTTAATTCAGCGAGTTTAGTTTAGTTTCAGGAAAAGACAGGGACACCTCCGCAGTGTATTTGCGAGCACAGGTTGCAAAGACACAATCACAACATGCAAAGTTCTGTGGCGTGTATGGTCTTATATGACAATGTTACCGCGGCGCCGTTCACTCACAGCCGTGTTGTTGTGAGCCGCTCACAGCCAGAGCGGCCGCGGAGGAGGCGGACCTCAGTTCACCACAAACAACAGCCCTGCGGTGACGCATGTATTCTTTTAAAACATGAGTTCCCAGAGACCTGCTCTGATGCATCTCACACGCAGCATTCTGAGTGATATTAAGGATAAATGGGCGGGTCATTCGGACATGCGTTACGTTCTTTTAACGCGTTAATGAAAAATGTAATTAACGTGAGTTAACGCTATACTTTTGACAGCCCTAATATATATATATAATTACACTACTCACACCCATGAGTTGTTTTTACTGGGACAGTGAATAAAGAACATGATCCAAGAGGAAAGTGGTTACAGGCTGTAGGTGTAAAGAGGAAAGCACTGGGACAGACAGATCCATGTTAGTATAGATTATATATTATTATTGTAGATTATGATATAGATTATCATTATAGATTATTTATGTAGATAATTATTCTAGATGTTTGTGTTTCTCAGAGTAAAGGAGGGATCCTGTCCAAAGCCTGCGACTACATCCGAGAGCTGCGGCAGAGCAACCAGCGTCTGCAGGAGAGCTTCAAGGACGTGGAGCGAGTGGAGATGGACAACGAGCTGCTGCGACAGCAGGTAAATACCACTAAAAACATGTTCTGTAGGTCTGTGCCTCCTGTACTGACCCCGCCCATCTCTGTGTGGAGGGAGAGACCAAAGCCTAGCGTACATGGACAGAGAAACTGGAGACAACTAGTTGAAGGCAGCTTTTGGCGACTGAGAGCAGATGATGGAGATGATCAGTTGAAATCAGTCGATGTGAGCGCTCTTACAACTGGAGATAAACAGTCGGTCTCCGGATTCAGTCAGTTGCCCGTGATCTACTTTTCGGCAGCTAGTTGTCCTCAGATTCGGAGATATGACCCGATGTGTGCGCTCCATGCGCCGCTCCAACAACATGTGTGTATTGCGTGTCTGTTCTGTGAAAGGCGCTATATAAATAAACATTACTCACTTAAAATGAGACGGACCTGTTTGGACAGAAACTATTTACATGTTTTTATTTATTTGAATGGAACATTAAGCAACACGTGTTTATTTAACCATGATTCAGTGAAGGAGAGTTTCCTCCTATTTATATCTAATACTCTGATCTAATAATACTGAGGTCTAATAATACTGAAGTCTAATAATACTGAGGTCTAATAATACTGAGGTCTAATAATACTGAGGTCTAATAATACTGAGATCTAATAATACTGAGGTCTAATAATACTGAGGTCTAATAATACTGAGGTCTAATAATACTGAGGTCTAATAATACTGAGGTCTAATAATACTGAGATCTAATAATACTTTTTTTTTTTTTTCATTTACATCCCTTTATTTTCCATTTCTGGGTCAGGGGGGTGGCAATCAGAACTGCCACCCAATTCACAAAGCACCAGTCCCTTGCTGATCTTCCTGCAGGTGGTGGGTCCACGGGAAGATGGCTGCTCCTTCGACACAGATGCAGCCTTGGTCTTTCAGCGGGGACTTCAGGCACATTGGGGTTAAGTGTCTTGCCCAGGGACACAACGACAGCAGACATCAGTGGGAGCAGTTGACACGGGTCGTGGTGGGATCGAACCCACGACCATTAGGTCCAAAGACCAGTGCTCTACCAACTGCGCTACTGTCGCCCCTTCTAATAATCTAATAATACTGAGGTCTAATAATACCCGCCCGTCCCGTCCCCGTTTTCTTCCGCTTCCTCCGTTGCCGGGTCGCGGGGGCAGCAGTCTAAGCAGAGACGCCCAGACTTCCCTATCCACACACACTTCCTCCAGCTCGTCCGGGGGGACCCCAAAGCGTTCCCAGGCCAGCTGAGAGACATAGTCCCTCCAGCGTGTCCTGGGTCTTCCCCGGGGCCTCCTCCCGGTGGGACGTGCCCGGAGCACCTCCCCAGGGAGGCGTCCAGGAGGCATCCGGAACAGATGCCCGAGCCACCTCAACTGGTTCCTCTTGACGTGGAGAAGCAGCGGCTCTACTCCGAGCTCCTCCCGTGTGACTGAGCTCCTCACCCTATCTCGATCTCGTTCTTTCGGTCATTACCCAAAGTTCATGACCATAGGTGAGGGAGGGAACGAAGATTGACCGGTAAATTGAGAGCTTTGCCTTTCGGCTCAGCTCCCTCTTTACCACAACGGTCCGATACAGCTCTGACTGCAGACGCTGCTCCCTCTTTACCACAACGGTCCGATACAGCGACCGCATCACTGCGCACGCTGCACCGATCCGCCTGTCAATCTCACGCTCCATCCTTCCCTCACTCGTGAACAAGACCCCGAGATACTTGAACTCCTCCACTTGAGGAAGGACCTCTCCACCCACCTGAAGAGAGCAAGGCACCTTTTTCCGGTCGAGCACCATGGCCTCGGATTTGGAGGTGCTGATTCTCATCCCAGCCGCTTCACACTCGGCTGCAAACCGTCCCAGTGCATGCTGCAGGTCCTGGTTCGTTGGAGCCAACAGGACGACATCATCCGCAAACAGCAGAGATGAAATCCTGTGGTCCCCGAACCGGACCCCCTCCGGCCCCTGGCTGCGCCTAGAAATTCTGTCCATAAATACAGTGAACAGAACCGGTGACAAAGGGCAGCCCTGGCGGAGGCCAACATGCACCGGGAACAGGTCTGACTTACTGCCGGCAATGCGAACACAGCTCTGGCTCCGGTCATACAGGGACCGAACTGCCATCAGCAGAGGACCCCGGACCCCGTACTCCCGGAGAACCCCCCCAAAGAACACCCCGGGGAACACGGTCGAACGCCTTCTCGAAATCCACAAAGCACATGTGGACAGGTTGGGCGAACTCCCATGAACCCTCGAGTATCCGATGGAGAGTATAGAGCTGGTCCAGTGTTCCGCGACCGGGACGAAAACCACACTGCTCCTCCTGAATCCGAGATTCGACCATCGGCCGTAGCCTCCTCTCCAGTACCTTGGAGTAAACCTTACCAGGGAGGATAATTGGAACACACCCTCCGGTCCCCCTTCTTGTAGAGAGACTTTAGATAGTCAGGACGGATCTCATCCACTCCCGGCGCCTTGCCACCAAGGAGGCTGCCAACCACCTTGGTGACCTCAGCCAGGGAGATGGAAGTATCCGCCCCAACATCTTCAGCCTCTGCCTCTGAAATAGAGGACGTGACGGGGGGATTGAGGAGAACCTCGAAGTATTCCTTCCACCGCCCAACAATATCCCCGGTCGAGGTCAGCAGCCCTCCACCCGCACCGTACACGGTGTTGGCAAAGCACTGCTTCCCCCTCCTGAGGCGCCGGACAGTTTGCCAGAATCTCTTCGAGGCCGACCGATAGTCATGCTCCATGGACTCTCCGAACTCCTCCCAGACCCGGGTTTTTGCCTCTGCAACAGCCAGGCCGCGGCACGCTTGGCCTGCCGGTACTGGACAGCTGCCTCAGGAGTCCCCCGAACCATCATTGCTCGATAGGACTCCTTCTTCAGCCTGACGGCATCCCTTACTGCCGGTGTCCACCACCGGGTTCGGGGGTTGCCGCCGGGACCAGCACCAGAGACCTTGCGACCACAGCTACGAGCCGCCGCATTGGCGATAGAGGAAGAGAACATGGTCCACTCAGACTCGATGTCCCCCTCCTCTGCCGGGACCTGGGAGAAGCTCTCCCGGAGGTGTGAGTTGAAAGACCGTCTGACAGGGGGCTCAGCGAGACGTTCCCAGCAAACCCTCACTATACGCTTGGGTCTGCCAGGTCTGACCGGCTTCTTCCCCTGCCAGCGGATCCAACTCACGACCAGGTGGTGATCGGTTGGCAGCTCCGCCCCTCTCTTTACCCGAGTGTCGAAAGGTCAGATGATACGACAACAAAGTCGATCATCGACCTCTGGCCTAGGGTGTCCTGGTGCCACGTGCACTGGTGGACACCCTTGTGCTCGAACATGGTGTTCGTGATAGACAAACTGTGACTGGCACAGAAGTCCAACAACTGAGCACCGCTCGGGTTCAGATCAGCGGGGCCGCTCTTCCCGATCACCCCTCTCCAAGTGTCACTGGCATTTCCCACATGGGCGTTGAAGTCCCCCAGGAGAATAACGGAGTCCCCGGGCGGTGCACCGTCCAGTACCCCTCCCAAGGACTCAAAGAAGGCCGGGTACTCTACACTGCTGTTAGGCCCGTAGGCCGTCACAACTGTGAGAGACTTGACCCCACCCGAAGGCGGAGGGACGCGACCCTCTCATTCACCAGGGAGAACTCAACACGTGGCGGCTGAGATGGGGGGCAATGAGTATGGCCACCCCAGCTCGCTGCCTCTCCCCGCGAGAGACACCAGAAAAGTGGAGCGTCCAACCCCTCTCAAGGAGTTGGGTTCCAGAGCCCTGGCTGTGTGTGGAGGTGAGGCCGACTATCTCTAGTCGGTATCGCTCGTCCTCCCCCACGAGCTCTGGCTCCTTCCCCCCCAGTGAGGTGACGTTCCACGTCCCAAGAGCCAGATGTTGTGTGTGCGGACTGGGTCGCCGAGGCCTCCGCCTTCGGCTGCTGCCCAGTTCTCTCACGGACCCCTCTGCAGGTGGTGGGCCCACAGGAGGGTCTGCCCACGTCGTCCTTTCGGGCTGAGCCCGGCCGGACCCCAGGCCTGGCTCCAGGGTGGGGCCCCGGCTGCGCCATGCCGGACGACGTCACTGTTTTTCTTTTAGTGCTGTCCATGGTGTCTTCGGACTCGTCACCTGAGACCTGTCTGCCATGGGAGACCCTACCAGGGGCATGAAGCCCCAGACAGCATAGCTCCCAGGATCATCCGAGTACTCAAACTCCCCCAACACGTTAAGGTGGCAGTCCAGGGGGGTATCTGATAATACTGAGGTCTAATAATACTGAGGTCTAATAATACTGAGGTCTAATAATCCTCACATTTCCGGTTGTTTCTTTCAGATCGAGGAGTTGAAGAACGACAACGCGCTCCTGCGGGCGCAGCTGCAGCAGCACGGGATCGAACTGAACGGAGACTCGGCGACGCAGTGACGCGGACACTAACCTTTGTACTCCCGCCCGGACCCAACCCAATCATGGAGGACGATTTCACATTTTCCCAGCCTCCCTGCGGACCCTGAAGGCACCGGACACTGACGAACCGCCTCCTTCAAACTCACAGAGAAAACACAAACTGCTTCTACCAAACATATTTCTCTATAATTTAAAGTTTTCCCCGTAACGTTTATCCTTCAATGGGATATTCCAGTGCTTTGTAAGAAATCAAATTATGCAGTTTTTTTTTTTTTTTCTTTCCACTTAATTTACCTTTTTACAAGTGCCTACCTGGCAACGAAGGAAAAGTAGTGTCTTTTTCTACCCAATTGAAAGAAGGCGATTGTACACAAACTGCTGGACTATCCTATGAACTATTTCAACCATTCTTTTATCGACGTGTTTGATTCTACTAAATGTGCTTTTCTTTGTCATTTTAATTTATTTAGATCGTTAATGCATAGCGACGAAATGCTGTTTGTGTTTGTGTTATTTCCAGCTCCTACAAATGTCACTCGAACCAGACGTTGAGAAGCTGCCAAACCCTAAAAGGTTTAATGTAAATGTAGAGAAAGCACAGAAAGGAAGGAGGTCACTTTATCCAAAAGCCCTTTTTTCTTCTTTTATTTTAGCTTTTTGGAAACTAACGTAGCTCAGGTATCGGGGAAAGTGCTCTGGCAGGAAGTTCACGCACGAGACAGGATTCTATTGAGAGAAATGACGCGGTTTTTGATCCAGAAACGAGGCGCAAACGGGCATTAAATCCACTGTTGTACATTTCTGAAGAGGTTTAATGCACTGACATGAATTGTGTGAAGACTCGGAGGTTGTTTTGTTATTTCGATTGATACTGGAAACGCCAGGACATGTTTGGGAACTTTATCTGGATAGAGCGTCGTACTAATATGGTCAGAAACGTGACTGAGTGAAGTGGTGCTGGATTATAACCAGCTTTTGTCTACACTGAAGTCACCACAGCATGGAAGAGTAACCACTGGCATGTCTGGTTCTGATACAATAAATGAGACTTTGTAATGACGTCTGAGTATTTACAGCTTTCAACAATAACCAGATCAAAAGAAAACGTTCAGGGACTTTGCAAAACTCTTTAGTAGCATTAAAGTGCAACTGTTTTCCTTGTATCCAGAAGGTTCCACAAGAGGAAGACAGGGAGGCGCTGATATCAATATTTTGGTTTTCAAAATCTGCCCATAGTGAATATTATGTATTTTTCTGTCTCTCCCATAAGTCTGTTTTCGAATCAGGCGTATGGAGACACTTAGGGGTATATGATGGTACTGCAGGGGGGTATTTGAAACACTTGGCTATGGGCTGCTAAGGCCTTACACTGTTTTAAAGCTAATTTTCCTCAAGAACACAGGCATATAATGAATTCCTATTTAAGTAATGTTAATATTTATAGCACATTATTAGACCATATTGCTCCCTTCTCTCCACACAGTGATGACAGAAGCGAGACTTCGAACACACTGGACCATCAAAGCCTCTGACCAAACACCCCTCCATTCCAATATTGTGCATGTTTCTAGTGGTAGGGGAAACCGGATGAAACCTACGCAGACACAGGGAGAACATGCAAACTCCACTCAGAACGACCCTGTTCCGACCGGGATTCGAACCTGTAAACATTGAACCCACAACAGAATAGCTAATAATAGTTGAATAGTATGTATTGTGAAACTTTCAAAACTAGAACTTTATAAACAGCACACTGTTTTTACACTTATTATTGATGCACATTTCAACAAAATTAAAAAGCAGGAACAAAATTAGTAGAGGGTTTGACGCTTTTTCTCACAGACCAATCACAGAGCAGCAAAGGCTTTCATGTTTCCTTTATAGTTGAATACTGTTAAAGTACAAGTATTTTTATCTAAATTCAGAAAATGGCTGAAGATTTAATTTTTATTTTCAACCCAGATCAAACTCAGATATTCATGATTGAAATGTATTTATTGCACCACCTGAACCTCTGAAGCTAAGCAGGGCAGGGCCTGGTTAGTACTGTGATGGGAGACCACTGGGAACAGCAGGTGTCACAGTGGGGCGGCTGTAGAGGGTGAAACTGTTGTTGTGTCCTTAGGCAAGACACTTCCCCCACATTGCTTGAAATGGAAGTGTGTGTGTGTGTGTCTATGTGTGTGTGTGTGTGTGGTTGGTGGTGGTGGGAGGGGCTGATGACAGACTGGTTGCTTCGCATTTTAGACAAAGAAAAAAACTGCTTTGTGTAAATAATTAAGTGGAGAGAGTCACATGACGCAGTGTGAGTTGTTGCCTGGAGACTGTTGCCCCTGGATCCCAACACCAGTCCAGTCCGGTCTGGTCCAGTCCGTCGGAGCAGAAACTCGGTGAGTTCAGAACAAAACACTTTCATGTGAAGTTTATGGGTTCTCGATCTCTGCTTGGTTCTTATTCAGTATCTGTCCTCTTTATCTTCCTTCATGGGCCACAGCAGGACATAGTCAATGTTGGTTTTGTGGTTTAAGAGTCTTTTAAAGTGAGGTATAAGTGATAAATTGATCTAATAATTATACAGTGCTTTTCTGGGCACTTAAAAACACTTCACATGTCAATCATTCTCTCCAAACACACTGGTGATAAACTACCTCTGTAGCCACAGCTGCCCTGGGGCACACTGACACATTCTAATTTTCAGAGTTTGGTTGTGGTCCTGTGTGTGTCTGTGTGTGTCTGCAGAGATGAGTGCGGTGTCGCTGAAGCCCGCTCTGCGTCATGACGTCACAGAATGGACCAGAAACAACCTGGAGCTGAGCAGCGTCGCAGAACACCAGAGACATGTGTCCCACATGGTCCGACAGGAGGGGAGGGGGCTGCGGAACCAGACCAACTGCCAGGTTTGTGTCAACAACCACAACCACACACAACAACAAGCCACACACAACCACATACAAGACTCTGATCCAGACTCTGATCCAGTCCATGGATTTGGATGGGTCTGTATCTGTAGCTCTGTGGGAAATGAGCTGCGGCTCTACTCAGAGCTCCTCCTGTCTCTGAGCGTCCAGGACTCTGACACAGATCTCATGACCATTGTTTATGTTGACTCATTATTATCATTATATAAACACGAAACACTGTCACATCCAGTCTGATGTGTGTCTGATGTGTGTCTGATGTGTTTGATCCTTTCCTGTTCCAGACAAACTGGGACGAGGCGGACACAAACCAGAACCTCGGGGCCCGGGTCTGGGACGTGTCCGTTTGGAGAGAGGCTCTGGACGTTTGTGCAAAGAAAGTGGACGAAGAGATGGACGCGCTGACTCTGGTGACGCCAACACTGTTTCATCTCACTTTATACAGACATCATTCACTGCACACAGTGCTGCCCTGGGGCAGACAGAGAGGCGAGCCTTATCATCTGCCCTGGGGCAGACAGAGAGACGAGCCTTATCATCTGCCCTGGGGCAGACAGAGAGACGAGCCTTATCATCTGCCCTGGGGCAGACAGAGAGGCGAGCCTTATCATCTGCCCTGGGGCAGACAGAGAGACGAGCCTTATCATCTGCCCTGGGGCAGACAGAGAGACGAGCCTTATCATCTGCCCTGGGGCAGACAGAGAGACGAGCCTTATCATCTGCCCTGGGGCAGACAGAGAGACGAGCCTTATCATCTGCCCTGGGGCAGACAGAGAGGCGAGCCTTATCATCTGCCCTGGGGCAGACAGAGAGGCGAGCCTTATCATCTGCCCTGGGGCAGACAGAGAGACGAGCCTTATCATCTGCCCTGGGGCAGACAGAGAGACGAGCCTTATCATCTGCCCTGGGGCAGACAGAGAGGCGAGCCTTATCATCTGCCCTGGGGCAGACAGAGAGGCGAGCCTTATCATCTGCCCTGGGGCAGACAGAGAGACGAGCCTTATCATCTGCCCTGGGGCAGACAGAAAGACGAGCCTTATCATCTGCCCTGGGGCAGACAGAGAGACGAGCCTTATCATCTGCCCTGGGGCAGACAGAGAGGCGAGCCTTATCATCTGCCCTGGGGCAGACTGAGGGAGACGAGCCTTATCATCTGCCCTGGGGCAGACAGAGAGGCGAGCCTTATCATCTGCCCTGGGGCAGACAGAGCGACGAGCCTTATCATCTGCCCTGGGGCAGACAGAGAGACGAGCCTTATCATCTGCCCTGGGGCAGACAGAGAGGCGAGCCTTATCATCTGCCCTGGGGCAGACAGAGAGACGAGCCTTATCATCTGCCCTGGGGCAGACAGAGGGACGAGCCTTATCATCTGCCCTGGGGCAGACAGAGAGGCGAGCCTTATCATCTGCCCTGGGGCAGACAGAGAGACGAGCCTTATCATCTGTGCCATCAGGCCCTCTGCCCTGGGGCAGACTGAGGGAGACGAGCCTTATCATCTGTGCCATCAGACTCTCCACCACCAGTCCTTCACCAGACTCACACTGGGTCCTGTGGGTGACTGGACTGGTCTCCTGCTGGTCCCAGAGTCAGGACTACAGTAAACGTGGGGGGAGGGTTTTAGATTCATGCAGATAAAATATGTAACAGTCTTCCTGAAAATGTGAGACAGACTTCTTCTCTGACAATGTTCAAAGTATCAGAGATTAAGATTAGGAGATGCTTCCTATGCACACTATTTTAATGTACTGTGTGTGTGTCTGTGTGTTGTGTATATGTGTGTGTGTATATGTATATATGTGTGTTGTGTATATGTGTGTGTGTGTCTGTGTGTTGTGTATATGTGTGTGTGTATATGTATATATATGTGTTGTGTATATGTGTGTGTGTGTGTATGTGTGTTGTGTATATGTGTGTGTGTATATGTATATATATGTGTTGTGTATATGTGTGTGTGTGTGTATGTGTGTTGTGTATATGTGTGTGTGTGTGTATGTGTGTTGTGTATATGTGTGTGTGTATATGTATATATATGTGTTGTGTATATGTGTGTGTGTGTATGTGTGTTGTGTATATGTGTGTGTGTGTGTATGTGTGTGTGTGTGTATGTGTGTTGTGTATATGTGTGTTGTGTATATGTGTGTGCAGTGTAAGCAGCAGCTGGAGCAGGCCCTGGCCTCCACAGAGCTCCCCCTGGAGGTGGTCTCTGAGTGCCTGACCCTGAGGGAGGGGAGGGCGGGACCCGAGCTGGTCCTGGACCCTGCAGACCTCCAGCTGAAGAACGAGACCTCTCTGATCCAGAAGGTCCAGTCCAGTCTGCAGCAGCTCATAGACCAGGCCTTCGAGCACCTCTGGTAACCACGGAAACACAACAATTTATTATTAAAGCCACAAGCGGCGATGAAAGGCCTCGCCACTCCCACAGCCGCCCCCGGGCGCCAGTCCCATGAGCGTTATGCAGCGTTCTCCGATGAATTCTCAGCTCAATCAGACCAGAATCACATACGGAAAATAGGATTCGGTGCACCCCTAGTGGTCAACTGTGGGACCTGCACCCTCTGCGTAATGTAGTATTTGATTGTGTGACTTTGGTGAGGATCGGAAAAGATTAGGTCAGAAGCCCCCCATAGGTGGCGCTGTAGAGTCATATGAGAAGTGTATTTTCACACATTATAATTTTACGTTCAGCTTGTTACAACTGTTAGTGATGTCTCAGCTCTGGTCTGAGCCTGTGGCCAGGAGAGCATCAAACATGGAGAAATTCCCCACCGCCTCGCATGAAAACTTTTGCATGAAGAATTTCCAACTTTTTATTGAGAGTATGTAGTATGTATGTCTCCAATCCGTCCAGATGAGATATGACAAGGTAGAGGTCTCTGCGATGAAAAACCTGGGACTAGATCAAATAAAAAAAACACAGCACCTTGAACGTCCTGTAGGTGGCGCCGTTGCACTCACAGTTGTGTGTTAGAGTCCGTGACTTTCAGGCAGGAGCACTATAGATCATATTCATATATGATTGTTATACTTCTGTGATCAGGCCCGAGGGCTCAGTGAAAACACCCAAAACAAAGGCCTTGTTCGCCGTGGCGACGGCGTGGGACCAAAACGGACCGGAGCGCGATCTAGAGACAGTGTGTATCGGACAATTTCGAAACGTTCCTTTTTTGTTGAACCTGCTGCATTAGACCCCCAAGTGCCAACATTCATCCACGTCGTCAGAGTCAAAAATGTAATCCTGGCGGAAAATAAAAATGAAACCAACGAATAACAATAACCCAAGTCTACGTATTGGCTCGGGCTAATTATGTATAATATTTTTGGAATTGAAAGTATGTCTTCACAACGGTGCACGATACAGGAAGCTGACCTTCTGAATAACAGTGTAAAATTGATTTATTAAGATTTATATGTGACAAAAACACAATAAGATTAGAAACATGACGCCAAGAATCATTATAAGTTACTTGTGTGTCTGTCTGTGTGTGTGTGTCTGTGTCTGTGTCTGTGTGTGTGTGTGTGTGTCTGTGTCTGTGTCTGTGTCTGTGTGTGTGTGTCTGTGTCTGTGTGTGTGTGTGTGTGTGTGTGTGTGTGGTCAGTGTTCTCCAAGAGCACCGTCAGCAGCTCACGGAGGATCTCCAAAACAAGATGGACGCCCTGGACATTGACACGGCCTGTTTGTCGCTCACACGGACATCTCCTCAAATATCGCTCAAACCCAACCCCACACGGACCCCCTCAGGGTAAAGTACCCCACACAGACCCCCTCAGGGTAAAGTACCCCACACAGACCCCCTCAGGGTAAAGCACCCCACACCGACACAACACACACATTAAAACCAGTGTGGGCGGGTCCCGGCTCAAAAGTGGCCAAAATGACGTGCGCTGACACGCTGCAGTACCACCCCGGGCCTGTGGGGGTGGACCCTGACACGCTGCAGTAACACCCCGGGCCTGTGGGGGTGGTGCTGACATGCTGCAGTACCACCCCGGGCCTGTGGGGGTGGACCCTGACACGCTGCAGTAACACCCCGGGCCTGTGGGGGTGGTGCTGACATGCTGCAGTACCACCCCGGGCCTGTGGGGGTGGACCCTGACACGCTGCAGTAACACCCCGGGCCTGTGGGGGTGGTGCTGACATGCTGCAGTACCACCCCGGGCCTGTGGGGGTGGTGCTGACATGCTGCAGTACCACCCCGGGCCTGTGGGGGTGGTGCTGACATGCTGCAGCACCACCCCGGGCCTGTGGGGGTGGACCCTGACATGCTGCAGTACCACCCCGGGCCTGTGGGGGTGGTGCTGACATGCTGCAGTACCACCCCGGGCCTGTGGGGGTGGACCCTGACACGCTGCAGTACCACCCCGGGCCTGTGGGGGTGGACCCTGACACGCTGCAGTAACACCCCGGGCCTGTGGGGGTGGTGCTGACATGCTGCAGTACCACCCCGGGCCTGTGGGGGTGGTGCTGACATGCTGCAGTACCACCCCGGGCCTGTGGGGGTGGTGCTGACATGCTGCAGCACCACCCCGGGCCTGTGGGGGTGGACCCTGACATGCTGCAGTACCACCCCGGGCCTGTGGGGGTGGTGCTGACATGCTGCAGTACCACCCCGGGCCTGTGGGGGTGGTGCTGACATGCTGCAGTACCACCCCGGGCCTGTGGGGGTGGTGCTGACATGCTGCAGCACCACCCCGGGCCTGTGGGGGTGGTGCTGACATGCTGCAGTACCACCCCGGGCCTGTGGGGGTGGTGCTGACATGCTGCAGCACCACCCCGGGCCTGTGGGGGTGGTGCTGACATGCTGCAGCACCACCCCGGGCCTGTGGGGGTGGTGCTGACATGCTGCAGTACCACCCCGGGCCTGTGGGGGTGGACCCAGAATAGGGATTAGCCAATGCTAACATATAGCATCTTCTTACCTCTGGAAAATGTCTTTACAGGATGGTCCAAAAGTTGGCTCTTGGTCCAAAGCTCTGTTCCACATGTGTGTCAATCATGGATCTATTATAATAACTGGTCAGAGTGTTACAGCTTGGAGCTGAAGAACCATGTGCTCGGGGGATTCTCGCGGTACTGCAGACTAAACCAGACTAAACCAGACTAAACCAGACTAAACCAGACTAAACCAGACTAAACCAGACTAAACCAGACTAAATTCATGTGGGCTACCCAGAAATTTTCCCCATAGAACTCAATGTAAACTAAAACAGATCGACCTCAGCTGACAGAGAACCTGACAGAGAACCTGACAGAGAACCTGACAGAGAACCTGACAGAGAACCTGACAAAGAACCTGACAGAGAACCTGACAGAGAACCTGACAGAGAACCTGACAGAGAACCTACAGAGAACCTACAGAGAACCAGACAGAGAACCTGACAGAGAACTTGGCAGAGAACCTGACTGAGAACCTGACTGAGAACCTGACTGAGAACCTGACTGAGAACCTGACAGAGAACCTGACAGAGAACCTGACAGAGAACCTGACAGAGAACCTGGCAGTGAACCTGGCAGAGAACCTGACAGAGAACCTGACAGAGAACCTGACAGAGAACCTGACAGAGAACCTGACAGAGAACCTGACAGAGAACCTGGCAGAGAACCTGACAGAGAACCTGACAGAGAACCTGACAGAGAACCTGACAGAGAACCTGACAGAGAACCTGACAGAGAACCTGACAGAGAACCTGACAGAGAACTTGGCAGAGAACCTGACAGAGAACCTGACAGAGAACCTGACAGAGAACCTGACAGAGAACCTACAGAGAACCTGACAGAGAACCTACAGAGAACCTGACAGAGAACCTGACAGAGAACATGACAGAGAACCTGACAGAGAACCTACAGAGAACCTACAGAGAACCTGACAGAGAACCAGACAGAGAACCAGACAGAGAACCAGACAGAGAACCTGGCAGAGAACCTGACAGAACCTGACAGAACCTGACTGAGAACCTGACAGAGAACCTACAGAGAACCTACAGAGAACCTACAGAGAACCAGACAGAGAACATGACAGAGAACCTGACAGAGAACCTACAGAGAACCTACAGAGAACCTGACAGAGAACCAGACAGAGAACCAGACAGAGAACCAGACAGAGAACCTGACAGAGAACCTGACAGAGAACCTGACAGAGAACCTGACAGAGAACCTACAGAGAACCTGACAGAGAACCTACAGAGAACCAGACAGAGAACCAGACAGAGAACCAGACAGAGAACCAGACAGAGAACCTGGCAGAGAACCTGGCAGAGAACCTGACAGAACCTGACTGAGAACCTGACAGAGAACCTACAGAGAACCTGACAGAGAACCTGACAGAGAACCTACAGAGAACCTGACAGAGAACCTACAGAGAACCTGACAGAGAACCTGACAGAGAACCTGGCAGAGAACCTGGCAGAGAACCTGGCAGAGAACCTGGCAGAGAACCTGACAGAGAACCTGCCACTGAGCACAACCATTCATTTGAATAGGCCGCCATCTTGGATCACGGGGCTTGGTGTCAGTGCTGAGTGTTTTGGTCCAGTTTAGTTTAGTCGCTGTGGACTTTGGACTTTAGAAGTCTCTCGTTCAAATGAATGGAGCTGCTCCGGCTGACACATGCACAGATGGGTTTTTTCACATTTTCTTGTGGGCGGGACCACTCGCGGCCATTTTGGATTGCTCCAGTAGAGCACATTTTTTGGCCCATTAGTTTGAACGGGGAGATAGCCGTGACTCTGTCCGTTAATATATACAGTCTATGATTAAAACACACACATTATGTTTGATTATTGTGTTGTTGTGTGATTATTGTGTTGTTGTTGTTGTGTGATTATTGTGTTGCTGTGTTGCTGTTGTGTGATTATTGTGTTGCTGTGTTGCTGTTGTGTGATTATTGTGTTGCTGTGTTGCTGTTGTGTGATTATTGTGTTGTTGTTGTGTGATTATTGTGTTGCTGTTGTGTGATTATTGTGTTGTTGTTGTGTGATTATTGTGTTGTTGTGTGATTATTGTGTTGTTGTGTGCAGCTGCTGCTCTCCTGAAGAGTGGCTGCAGTTCAGTCGCTACAACATCGCTCGAGCGCAGGAGGCCATGCACCTGTCGCAGCAGATGCGGACGGAGATGAGGCTCTCGCTAGCACAGGTACACACTAGCACAGGTACACACTAGCACAGGTACACACACAGGTACACACTAGCACAGGTAAGGCAAGGCAAGGCAAGTTTATTTATATAGCACAATTCATACACAAGGCAACTCAAAGTGCTGAACAAAACAAGAAAGCATTAAAATCATAAATAATCACAGAACATTAAAAACAAAGATAAAAATATAAAATCCCTCAGTTGCAGCACAGCTAAACAGAACTGTCTTTAACCTGGTTTTAAACATTGTCAGAGAGGAGGCCTGTCTCACATCTTCAGGAAGACTGTTCCAGATTTTAGCAGCATGAATCTGAAAAGCAGCCTCCCCATGTTTAGTTCTGACTCTGGGCACTAACAGGAGTCCAGTCCCTGTGCTCCTCAGAGTCCCAGCAGGAGGCCAGTCCCTGTGCTCCTCAGAGTCCCAGCAGGAGTCCAGTCCCTGTGCTCCTCATAGTCCCAGCAGGAGTCCAGTCCCTGTGCTCCTCAGAGTCCCAGCAGGAGTCCAGTCCCTGTGCTCCTCAGAGTCCCAGCAGGAGTCCAGTCCCTGTGCTCCTCAGAGTCCCAGCAGGAGTCCAGTCCCTGTGCTCCTCAGAGTCCCAGCAGGAGTCCAGTCCCTGTGCTCCTCAGAGTCCCAGCAGGAGTCCAGTCCCTGTGCTCCTCAGAGTCCCAGCAGGAGGCCAGTCCCTGTGCTCCTCAGAGTCCCAGCAGGAGGCCAGTCCCTGTGCTCCTCAGAGTCCCAGCAGGAGTCCAGTCCCTGTGCTCCTCAGAGTCCCAGCAGGAGTCCAGTCCCTGTGCTCCTCAGAGTCCGGGCTGGTTCATATGGGACTAACATGTCACTAATATATTTTGGTGCGAGGCCATGGAGAGACTTGTACACAAGCAGAGCTGTTTTAAAGTCTATTCTCTGAGCCACAGGAAGCCAGTGCAGAGACCTGAGGACTGGACTAATGTGGTCGTACTTCCTGGTTCTAGTCAGGACTAATGTGGTCGTACTTCCTGGTTCTAGTCAGGACTAATATGGTCGTACTTCCTGGTTCTAGTCAGGACTGGAGCTGCTGCATTTTGAATGTACTGCAGTTGTTTTACAGCCTGTTTGGACAGACCTGTGAGCAGGCCATTGCAGTAGTCTAACCTACTGGAGACAAATGCATGGATAAGAATCTCCAAGTCTGCTTTAGACACTATGTTTTTGATCCTGGCAATGTTTTTTAGATGGTAAAAAGCTGCTGATGTTACTGATTTGATGTGGCTATTAAAATTTAAGTCTGAGTCCAGTATTACCCCTAGATTTCTGACCTTGTTTGAAGGTTTTAGGGAGAGAGACTGGAGGTGACAGATGACGCTCTCTCTTTGTTTCCGGGGACCAAAGACAATCATTTCAGTTTTGTCTGCGTTTAGCTGAAGGAAGTTGTTTTGCATCCACTCACTGATCTGTTGGATACAGTGAAGGAGTGAGTCCACTGGTCCATGTTCTCCTGCAGTCAGTGAGACATAGATCTGAGTGTCGTCTGCATAGTTGTGATAGGACACTTTGTTTCTGCGTATTAACTGACCTAACGGCAGCATGTAGAGATTGAACAGAAGAGGTCCCAGGATCGACCCCTGTGGGACTTGTCAGGATTCAAGCAGACAGAGACGGATCGTGTTGTGCCAAACTCTGGAAGTTTATTTAAGTTTCTCTCAAGTTCCACTGGTTTACTCTGTTTCTTTCTCCCAGACAGAATAAAGGCAGTACACAGTTTATATAGTCATTGTCACGTCACACATGGAAAGACATACGTGTCACAAAGAGACAGTCACATCATAGTCATAACATGGAGTCCTTGTACAGTCCTTGTACAGTCCTGCACGTAGGCCATATTGCTATCTAATACTAACACCCTCCCCTTTGATCACATAATCACATGTGATCACTCAAATCAATCAATCAATAAAGTGGAAAAAGAAAAAAAAAAAATTCTAAAAAAAAACGTTTAAAAATTATTAAAAACAATGAAAATGTATGCATTAAACTCATAATCATCAAATCAATATCAGTGGATTTTATCCTCTATCCTGGGAAAAAATAAAAAACACAAATAAAGTAAATAAACAAACAAAAAACAAATCAAAAATAAAAACAAACAAAAATAAAAACAAACAAAAATAAAACAAACAAAAACTATTGGACACACAAGAACTCAGCAGATTCAGTCAAAACACAGACAAAAACGAGCTGAGTCTCAAATTAGAAGCTAATTTCACTTTTATTACTCTATACTTTTATTCGAATGATAATTGTTTACACTTCACTTATTTCACTTTATTATTTTCACTTTTCAATCTTAGACTGTGTACTTTACTCTCTATTCACTATAGTTTAAAACTATTCTAATCTATTTACAAATATGTTTGCATATTTGCTTCTATTGAGCCATATTCTCAAACATACATTTTAATCTAATAAATCTCTCTGTGGTTTACTTTCATTATCAGTGGCATATTATTAGTGGGATTTTGCTCATGTCTATTCTCATTCTCAGGAATAAAACTGAACACAGTAAGGCAAACGGTCAACATTTACACTTCTATAGTGGTCAGTGATTTATTACTTTTTATTATCTAAAGATATTATTGTCAGGCAGTTTGGGATGAATGAACATCATTAATCAAATTAGTATTATCCTTACAAGAGCTAATCTGTTTTAGCAGGTTTGGGGTTGGGGTCAGTTATTCTACAATGGTGTTTGCGCTGGAAACTTCTCAATATCTAAATATCTACTATTGTGTTTTTGTGCTATACACAAATACATCAAAATGCTTTTAAATGCTTTTGAATCTCTGTTGGTTCTAATCTATCTCATTAATCTAGGCATTAATCTAGGCTACACTCATATGGACTTTTGCATTGTCAACATTCACTCATGTGTGAACACAAGTGAATTTGGAAGGTATCTAATAAAACTGTACATAAACTGTAATTAACTTTATCTACTTTTGAAGTAAAGGTTTGTGAAATGGTCCCTTTACCATTTGATATTAGCACTGGCTACAAATAATCTCTATTTTTGAAAGCATCTATGGTTGATGCATTTATCTAATTCTATTTTTACTCTATTTTTTAACTCCAAAGCTCGGCTGCAGCTTGAGCCAAGGCATATTTCTAATCTAACTCTTATGTGGAAATATGTTTATGAAAAACAAAGGAAGTCAAATTCTACTCTTTTACTACTATTTGACATCTAATAAAACGCTACAATACTCATACTTTATCATTTTAAAACATTTTAACAGTTGCTCAGTCTCCCAGACAAAAAAGTCAAAGTTTTTGTCTGTCAAATGTCTGAATACTTAACATTTATATTGCATTTGGTCACAGTTGTGGTTGTAGCAATAGCATCGGCAATAGACGTTTTCATTGGCTGGTTCTTGTTCTGCAAATGGCTGTGTCCAATAGATCATCAGATGTCCAGAAGCTAGGGACAAACAAAAACAAAAGAAAGAATCATGAGTATCTCTCTCATTTAGCACTCATCAATGTATGATTTTAATAATATAAACATCACTCCCCAGTTTTTTCTCTCTCAGATCCTCAGGTCCTCAGGGTCCTCAGGGTCCTCAGGTCCTCAGGGTCCCCTGAGGGTGAGTCTCAGTCGTCATCAGGTCAGGTCATATAGAGATGTCATCTTGGACATCAGTAGGGTCCAAGCCATGGTTCTGGTCTCTCCAGTTGGACATCAGGATCTCCAGATACAGTCTTTTCACTTGAAGCACATCAGGTCATTTGCGATGCACTTCTGGTCAATGGTGCAGTGTCTCAGTTCCTGTACACAGCTTGTTATGCAGTAGTTACTCTCTATGGTTAAGTCACTTTGATTCTACTTTAAAGACAATTTCTATTCATGCTGTTGCTAATGTCTCTCAGACAAAAGCAAGCGCAGTTTACTTCTCTAATTTGTGTTTTTATCAGATCTAATTCTAATCAATGTAATTACTTCACACAGTACAAAATCAACAAATCAAAAGTGTCAGGACAGAGGTCAATTAAGTCCATGACAATATAGAATTCAAATGAACATTTCTGGTCTCAAAAAATACTGATTCAACTAAAGATTCAAGTGATAGACAATTAAAAATATGTGTTTACATTGGAGTAAACTTTTAAAATGCTTTTTTCTCATGTTCTGCTTTTTCATGTATCTATATGTAAATGTGAATGTGTGTGTGTATGAATGTATGTGTGTGTGTGTGTGTGTGTGTATGTGAATTTTGGGGTTGTGTCTCCAGACTCCTCGAACCACCTGTAGGTGTCAAAGGTCACACTGTGGTGATGCAAACCAACTGGACACACTTTCAACTCTCATTCAGGTCTCTCCCTGACGCTCCACCCATCACTGCCTCCAGAAACCTCCACTTTGTGGCCCCAGTCTCACTCCCACTTACTTCTGTAGTGGGGGGAGGGGCGTAGAGGTGGCATTGTTGCCCTTTGCTCTTAGCTCTGTGACCTGTGGCTGGGTGGGCGTTGCGCTGTCCAGTGTCCAGCAGTGACCTCTCGTACAGTGAGGCAGAGTCTGAAAAACAATCCTTGACACGGCCAATTTAAAAAAACAATAGATACAAGGTACAAGGAGCTTAGCCGTGTCGTGGTTGAGAGTGCCGTGTCTGGACAAAGAAGGGTGGTTTTGGTGGAACAGTTGATCAAAGACCTCGCAGCTCGTTCACTTGATGGACATAAGACTTTGGAATTGAGATTGAATGACATTGTTTGTCAGGCTTGATCTCTCTGACCCGGCTTGGATTTGCCCCTGTGTACGGAGGTCTGAGGGCACCGGAATTCGGTTTAATTGGAATTAATAGAATATCTGCCTGCTTTTGACTGCGACATTGCAGGCGATGTGTTTTTCTCCTCCTGTGGCTTCTCTCCACTCTTATCTCACATTCCTCAGCCAAGGCCATAAACAAGGTCCCACAATCTACAACAACTCACACTATTTCAGTCTTCAGCAAGGATCCCCCACC